ATGAATTTATATTGAATATATTGTGTTTGCCTTGCGACCCTGGATTTGATAAGCACAAGAGAATGGAAGGATACTCTGACACACCCACTGGGCTGAGGAAAGAAGACAAGTGTAGTTACATTTTGAGGGTAAAATAATCACTTAAGGGTAAAATTGTGGTCAAAGTGGCAGGTGAAAGAGAAATTGAAAGTGTTGAGCAACAATCTTACTAATAATAAATAAAATTGCTGATGCCAATAACATATACTAGGAACATTGCAAACTAAAAATAAATTGCAATCAGGGCTGGACTGGGACAAAAAAAATCAGCCCGGGCATTTTGACTAGAGACCGGCCCACCAGGTATTATCGGAAAAGCCATAAAGCCTTTAAATGAAAACACACGCTGTTGTGACAGTGATGTAAACTGTCTTGTTGGTATATGTATGAGTTCTATGCATTTTACATCAGATAAAAACTTTGGTTGTAAGATTCAGATAATTATTGTTAAAAGCGAGACATATTAAATGAGAATAAGAAAGAAAAGTATTTCTTTGTGCCCCCCTCTCCCTGTTAATGCCCTACCTGGCTCCCTGGCAACACTTTGCTAGACCCACCCCTGCACAGTAACCAGCTGTCAGCAACATAAAAAAAGGATCCTGGTGTTATTTGTCTCTCAGAAACAGTTCATAAAATCCCTTCAACTCATTCATGTCACCTAAAAGGTAAACCTATTTCTCCATCTCCTGTTCAGCTCTGATGATTCAGTAACGACATCTCCTGGTTTCATCTTCATGTTTCCCTCTCACCAGATAACCAAACAGATATCATGACCAGCAGCTTTAACAGCTGTGGCTCCAGCAAACATCAGCTGATACTAGAAGGTAATATTAAATAAATTCTAATAACAGTTGATCAAGCTTAAACGTGCAGCTGTTGTTTAGTGCGACATCTGCTGGTTTCCTCTTTCTGGCGCAAAGTGGGCGATAAACAAACAGGAGAGAAAAGCCGATCAGCTGATCATTGATCAGTTTCATGATTGAAGTAGCAACAGGAGAGAGAGGGAGAGAAAAAAAGAAAAGAAAAGGCAGCTGAAAGTGTAAAGACAGAATAAGTGTACCTTCCTGTCTTTTTTTCATTCTAGCTGAAGTACGAGACAAACTGTGTTCCTTCTCAGCTCAATATGAAACATGTAATATTTTTTCTGAATACAGGACGATTCCATTTTTTATGGGATGTTTGGCAACTCTACTAACTAACCTTATGAATAAAATAAAGTT